TTACATATTCCATAAGCTACAGACCCGGCAGCTCTCAAAGGCTGTAATGATTCAACAGTATGAAATTCAAACAGTACACACCCTAAAAGTGGTACAAAGCATGAAAATGGGGTAATTTGATGTATACTTGTATAGGTATCCAAGGAGAGCTCAGAACCTATGACGTGATCCTTGCAGAACTTTACTGATGATCTTCTTGCCGTCTGCAACTTCCCTTTGCTTTATCTGTCTCACTTAAAAAGTTCTTTTGCTTATCTCCTTTTTTCACTTCTGTTCTATATAATGCTGACATCTTATGCTTTACGGAGGTCACAGCAGCACAACCCGACTGACAAGTCCTTCCCCTGTTATGAACCATAAGTCTGGACAAAATGTTCTGCTATTTGTGCTATGAATTGGCATGGTAACACGGAACAGAAAAGTCCTCTTGCATGACAGGGCCTAGCTCCCTGCCACTACAAAAAGCTCTGTTGTACAATCGCCTCATAAATTTATGAAGTGCCATATTAAAAACAGGTATATTTTCCTCCCACCAGTTTCAAGGAAAAGCTGTTTCAGAACTTGATTGCTGTAATGACTAAAACATTCTTCTAATTTCCTGATACATTTATTAATGAACAGTACATGTCTGTTTGCTCTTATGTCAATATAGCCCTGCAAATGAAATGGTTTTCATCTTTTATGTTTACTTCCCTGATGTATCTATTGAGAGCACTCATATCCCCTCTCATGCTTTTGTTTTACTGAAGTAAACAAGCTGAGCCATCCTAAAATCTGTTTGTACAAAAGGCTCTCAAGCTCTCTGGTGATGGGCCTAACCTCCCTCTACCCCTCTTGCTGCTCAACCTTAGTCCAGATACAGAACAATTACTTAGAAGTTTTCACAGTACCCAAATAAGGTTTCACCAGGGCCTTAAACAATGGCATTAATACCTCCTGACTTGAAATGAAATACATCATCTGGGATATTCTCTGTACTTATACCGATTCCTAAATATATATTGCTACCAGATTTCATCAGTATGTTCTTACTGATTTTATCATGACTACTACAAAATGTAGCAAATAAAACCATCCTAATCCCAACCCTTTAAGCCTGACATCTTCCTTTTCAACCCTATTTGTGGCTATATCACTTCACAATTTCTCTCCTAACCCCCATACTCTCATTCCTTCACAGGTAATACCATTCCAAATGTTTTCTCTATAGGGTATTAATATGACAGATTGAGTTTTCCTAAGATTGAGACCAGGCTTCGGGGTCACTTTTTTCAAAGATAAGTAATCACAGTTCAAGCTCAGCCCACCTACCTTCAAAGGCTCTGCAGAGGGAGACATGTAAAGAGTCATTTGTGACATGGCTTGTTCTCTGGGAGGTGAGACACCTCTTATCACCAAGATGAGAGGGTGAGAATGTCAGCCAACAAGATTCTCAGTGAAGATCCTTCAGTTAAATGCCTCAAGCACAATGCCAGACCCCTGTTTGCAATTATCCAGTCGTAACATTCTTAACAGGCCTCCTCAAAACACTTGCTGCTAGATTTTACTTATCACCTGTTTCAGGAATGCAGATGCAGTCCCTTTTATCTGAAAGCATGACACCAGTGTTGCATTTTTTGCTGTTGTAGGAATTTCTGTTCTGCCATTCACATGATCCATCTCCACCTTTCTCCACTAGGTGAAAATACTTCGGCAGTGAAGAAAGGCATACTTTGAATTCAGGGTATTTAACTTAGGCTCACTAGACAATAGCCACATCTTCTGCTCTCCCATTTGTATCACTGAAAAATCTCTAAAAATTCCATATGAGTACGATACAAGCATGGCTAGTTAGTAGGAACTGGAAGTATTTTCAGCTGAAACAGGACACGTAATTGATGGCAAAAATAAAATGGTACAGCAGAAAAAGCTGGTCAGTAATAGTAAACAGAGTGACATACTTTTGAATGTATTTTTTCGGTACATGTGGGTGGAAGGAGGACTAAGTCTTCCTAAAAATACTACTAAAAACTCCCATGGAATATGACACTTCAAGACAAACCCCCTAACATACATTTCATACTGTACTGTCTTGTAAAATTGTATTCAATTTAAGTATGTTACTGTTTTATTCATTCACCAAGATCATCAAAAGCCATCAGGAATAACCATTCTGAATGACAGCTGTGCTTCTTCTATACCTTCTTCTGAATATCCCAGTTGCAAAGTAAACAGTTTGCTTTTTTTAAGTCAGAGAGAGAAGTGTGAGTGAGCTGAAATGCACAGGATTAGGAATTTCATTTTCTTATTCATATTTCTCTGATTTGTTTCTAAAATATTTTTTCTTAATTTATATCTAAAATTCTAGCAAATTGAAAAGCCTTTACCGTTATTATTAGGGCATTAACTAAGTAATTAACTAATGACTATGTAGAACTATTGTAGGTGGAGTTTTAAAATGTAGGTATTGGCCTAACTTTTATAGTGTACAAAATGAAGCAAAATTACAACATAAAGACCAAACAATAATACACAGAATAATCTAACTATGTAACTACTATTTTGCATGTATTTTGTAAATCTAGTTTCCAAAACTGGTGTCCTAGGCCATGAAACAATAAGAAACAAAACCTCACAAAACCAGATTTATATACCAGATTTATATACTTAGAATGGCACTGTTAAACACTCACATGTTGTGATATAGCCCGGATAATGCTTAAACATTCTATTGGGCTTGTTTAGCCTGTAGATGGCACACCACAGTTTTCTCAATTGTGGGGGGTTTATTATTATGCTACAGAAAAAATCTGTTGTTAAACTTATTTTTAGTATTAAATTACTGCAAATGGTATTGATTCTCCTCAGGTAGCTGCAACTGAGAATGCATGGCCTTGTGCAAAGGCTGTAAGAAGGCACACAGTATTTACTTTTTCATGAGGATTTGCACTTTAAAAAAAATCACTGAAAATATGCTCATACTGTGTGGAAAATACTTATGCACAAAATAAAAAGACTTGCTAAAGAACTAACTTAGGGGTTTTTTTTCATCAATTTTACCCTTATGACCTCACTAATGTCATGATTTAGAATCATGGAATCGCAGAACTGTAGAATGGTTTGGGCTGGAAAGGACCTTAAGATCACCTAACTTGAATCCCCCTGCCATGGGCAGGGACACCTCAAGAACTGGCTGAATAGCCACACTCAAAGGTCAATGGCTCTATGTCTGGCTGAAGACCAGTAACGAGTGGTGTCCCTCAGGGATCAGTGTTGGGACCGGTCTTGTTCAACATCTTTGTTGCTGACATGGAGAGTGGGATTGAGTGCACCCTCAGCAAGTTTGCCAATGACACCATGCTGTGTGGTTCGGTTGATACACTGGAGGGAAGGAATGGCATCCAGAGGGACCTTGACACACTTGTGAGGTGGGTTGATGCCAACCTCATGAAGTTTAACCATGCCAAGTACAAGGTCCTACACCTGGGTTGGAGCAATCTCAGGCACAGCTACAGGTTGGGCAGGGAAGAGATTCAGAGCAGCCCTGCAGAGGAGTTGGGGGTGTTGGTGGATGAGAAAATGAACATGAGCCAGGTTCAGTGTGTGCTCGCAGCCCAGAAAGCCAACTGTATCCTGGGCTGCATCAAAAGGAGCATGACCAGCAGGTCAAAGGAGGTGATCCTGCCCCTCTACTCTGCTCTCATGGGACCTCACTTGGAGTATTGTGTGCAGTTTTGGTGTCCTCAACACAAAAAGGACACGGAACTGTTGGAACAAGTCCAGAGGAGGGCCACGAGGATGATCAGGGGACTGGAGCACCTCCTGTATGAAGATAGGCTGAGAAAGTTGGGGCTGTTCAGCCTGGAGAAGAGAAGGCTTCGTGGAGACCTCATAGCAGCCTTCTAGCATCTGAATGGGTCCTACAGGGATGCTGGGAATGGACTCTTCATTAGGGACTGTAGTGACAGGACAAGGAGTAACGGGTTAGATTTGATATAAGGAAGAAATTCTTTCCTGTTAGGGTGGTGAGGCACTGGAATGGGTTGCCCAGAAGAAGAAAGTGTTTACTGCAAGGGTAGTGAGGCACTGGAACAGGCTGGGTGGGGAAGCTGTGGCTGCTTCATCCCTGGCAGGGCTCAAGGCCAGGTAGGACAGAGCCTTGGGTGACATAGAATCGTAAAATAGTTAGTGTTGGAAAGGACCTTAAGATCATGTACTTCTGACCCCCCTTGCCATGGGTAGGGACACCTCACACTAAACCATGTCACCCAAGGCTTTGTCCAACCTGGCCTTGAACACCACCAGGGATGGAGCATTCACAGCTTACCCACCCAGCCTGTTCCAGTGCCTCACTACCCTTGCAGTAAACACTTTCTTCCTTACACACAACCTAAATCTCCTGTTTAAGTGCAAACCCAATCATGTATAAAATAATTTCTCATTTGTCACCGTTTATGACACGTGCTATAAGCGTTATCAAAGCCATAAACCGGTCATCCTTATCCTAGAAACTAGCACTGTTTGAAGGCCAGGTCCCAGTTTTTTGAGGGAGAGCACACCAGCAATATGACCAACACGCTGTAATGGGGCCAGCTGCATGGGCAAACCCAACAGCAAATACTGAAGCCCGAAATCCCACAGCTCCAGCACTTGGGGCCTTGCCCTCCTCTCTGGCGCCCCTTCTCGCACCTCGGCCAGAATCGCCTCGGGGCCTCTCGGCCTGAGATGCTTTGTGGGGCAGGGACGACAGAAGCGAGCAGCGCGCCACGCGGAACACACTTGTTACATCAAACCAGGCCTGGCCCTCGCCGGTCCGCAACCGCGTCAGACCCCGGCTGGACCTCGCAGAGCAGCCACAAGCCACCGGCGAGCCGCACCGCTCATGCGCAGCCGTGCGGGAGGCGGCTCCGCCTCGCCTGTGGCAGGACGGAAGTTGGGAGGTTGTTCATTGCCGTATGCGCTGCTCGGCTGGCAGCAGAGACCCTGGGTATTCCCTCTTGACCCGCACCCTGGAGCTTGGCCCGTGCCTCAGGGTGTGCTGCTTCTGCCCCTGCCTGTCCCTCCTCTCCCGCCGCCAGTGGGGCCCGGGCTGAGGCGGTAGCTCCGGCCATGGTGCGGGGCGGGGCGGCGGTGTTGCGGAAGGTCAGTGCGGCCGCCCGCGGAGTGGTGGGGACGGGGCCTGCGTGCGAGCAGCCCCGCGCAGGTGGCGTTCGGGCGGCTCGAAGGGCTGGAGGGGAGCCGCGGTCCAGCTCTGGGCCCCGCAGCCTGTCCGCTGCGGGCTGGCGTGTCGGTACGCGGGCACGGCCCGGCCGAGCGCCCACTTCCTTTCCCCTGTCTAGCCTGCGGGTCGGCTGTTTGCGGGAACGCCCCTCAGTACGTGCAGGGCTGAGGCGAGGCGAGGTGAGGTGAGGTGAGGTGAGGTGAGGTGAGGTGTCGGCAGAGTCCCACGCTTGTCTCCGTGCTCGCTGCCTGGGCGCTGCAGGGCGGGCGGGCCGTGAGGTACCGCTGCCGAGGAAGATAGGTCAAACAGTTCGCTTATTAAAAGACATTATTGAGGGTTACGCGTCTGCTTTCTGAGCTTTAATTATTGCCATCAAAGTTATACCGAAGCAGTTTTACACTCATTTCTACAACAACAAAATGTAAACAGAACTTAATACTGATATAAAACTTGGTCGTTTTAGTATGGCAACTTCGTCGATGATTTACGGCTCTATGTGAGAGGAGGAAGTGGTGGCATGGGTTATCCTCGCCTGGGTGGGGAAGGAGGAAGAGGTGGCGATGTCTGGTTCGTTGCCCAGGAAAGAATTACCTTAAAGAGCATTAGGGAGAAATACCCTCTGAAGCGATTTGTAGCTGGAACAGGAGCCAACAGCAGGTAAGGGTTTGTTCGATGGAAGCTGTTGTATGCATTTTTTCCAGAAAGCAGTTAACTAAGCCTGGTTCAATTTCTCCCAGTGTTAAAGCACTAAAAGGTGAAAAAGGAAAAGACTGTGAAGTTCGTGTGCCTCTGGGAATTTCAGTTCTCTGTGATGATGGCAAGCAGATTGGTAAGAACTTTTGCTCTGTTTTAGTTTATCCAGTAGATCATGTCATGTTTATTGATGGCATTTAGCAGACTTCTGATACTACGATGTTTAAGGTTACACATTTCCCAAAATATGTGTGTATTTTCTTTCAGACAGAGTTGACAAAAAAAAAAAACAACAAAAAACTGTAGAAATCGTTGGAAAAGATCCCTTCCAGAAATTAGCAGGAGTTAGTTTGTATCACTATATGCAGCAGAAAGAAAATTGCTCTTGCAAGCAAGTGTTAAAGACTGGAAGCTATACTGATGCTCCACAGAATCATTAATGACGTTACTTAAATTAGGTGTCCATAAACTCAGGTGACCCTGTAACTGCTGAATTATGACACTTGTTAAAAGGTAATGATCATTGGTGTCAACTCTTCAGGTTATAATACCTACTTTTCACTCTTTTTTAAAGAGTGGTGCTTGATAGTAACTAGGAGGATCTCTCAATACAGTGCTCTTGGAATAGATCTCAATGTTTTCTTTGCAGTTTCTCAGAGTTTTTATCCTCATACTGTTGAAACTAAAGTCAGAGGTTATTTCGATTTGGAGCAAAATTTGATGTTTGGCAAGAACAGTTTATGATGTAGACATGTGAGCGTCTAAAGGTATCCCTGAATTATATACTCAAATGTTGCATTTCATCTTATAATTATTCTAACCCTAAGGGAAATATACAGCCTGTATCTTAATGAAAGAATATGGAACCTCTGAAGATTTTTCTGTAGCTGCATCTCTATCAATGTGGATTTTTCCTTGCATTCTTGAACTCAAATGTTGGAGGCTTCAGAACTACCATCTTTGCCATAGTTTGCCTGCCTGTACTTAGCACTTTTCTTGAAGTGACTAACTGTATGACAGAAGGCAAAACCGGGGTGTGATTGATTTCATTTGTTTCCAAAGAAGGAAAAATATCATGACCCTAAATGCACAGCTCTTGCAAGGAGGTGCACAGAAAGTTGTTTGTTCATTGGAGATAGATTTAAGTGTGAAGTCACAACTGAACTCCTGCGGGTATTGTGTTTTTTTCACTGGTGAACTTATTTTCAGGAGAGCTTAATGCAGCAGGAGAGAGATTCTTGGCAGCACGTGGAGGTCTTGGAGGCTGTTTGGCTACAAACTTTGTGCCTTGCAAAGGTCAGAGGCGAACTGTTCGTCTTGATTTGAAACTTATAGCAGATGTTGGCTTAGTTGGGTAAGTACTGTAGTTTGAGAACTGATACTAGAAAATAAAGTAGTAAACTTCAAATGGGATTTCAAAGGAATTTGAGGGTTTGGAGGATGAGTGCTACTGTACTTTGACATTGCCACTTAAATAACTTGCAGTTTGCAGAAATCAGAGCTTAAACCTATTAAAATTAATTTTAAAATTTGGAAAGTACTGATTATGTTTTTGTTTGTGAAGGGCTTCGTGAGTCAGTGTTATATATCATTATTAATCAAGTTTTTCAATGATGGTGATTATTAAGATAGTATTAACTAATATTTATTAAGTAAGTAGCAGGTGCAAGACAGAGCCAAGAGCACTGGCCATATTGCATCTTTGACTTGGTGGTACTGGCATAAGTGGATACTCTCAGTAGTAGTTTTAAAGAGAGTTTCAAAGGTGATGTGCCCTACTCTCCCAAATAAACAGCTTGGAAGGAAGTAATTACAAACAAGAACAGTAGGACTTGCATTTCAATATTACTACTTTATAACATTGCAGATAAATGTATTTTCGTTTGGAGAAAGCTTTCAACAAACTACAGTTGTGAAAATATTGTTTTAAGTATTGTATACAAGTTCTACTCAGCATCTACTGCCAACCTGCACCTGCTCTTGTTTTAGAGTATGTGAAAATACAGTTTTACAACACTGGCACTTCTTTAATCTTGCATTTTGGGCTGTATTTTAGCTGACAGTATCCCTCTAAAATGGGTAAAAAGAATCACAGTTAATTAGAGGAGCATATTTTCTTGTTGAGGGTATGAATCAGCCTCCAATAGTTTGTGGTTGTACTTTGATCTCTTTGTGCTTGTTATTTTTACTTTAGGAGATTTGGAAGTGGTTTGCTATTAGATCAGATAAAAAACATTACTGATGGGTCTGAGAAAGACCTATCAGGTTTGGGTACAGGTTGTCATGTGTAGTGTAGGTTACAGCATACACTTCAAAGAGCATATTGTGCCTTAGTGGGAACAAAATAGTCACTTGAGGGTATGATTAGAGTAACCTTCCAGAATGTGTTTAAGATACCTTTCAACATCAGAGCACATTAAAACTACCCTTGATAGTTTTCATGTGACAAGAAGAGTTATGATGTCTCTTTCTTTTTTAAGAAAGCCTCTTACACAACCCCTTTATGGTGCCCCTTAATGCAGTACTGGCATTGTTTTTCATTTGCTCATGTTCTTATTAGTTGTCCCTGTTAACAGGTCTTGATTCTGCATGTAATCAAGTGGGGAGTATATGGTTTTCTATGTGGTGCATGCTTTTTTATCTTGTGACCAATGTTTAGTTACCTGTGGACACAAGTTTTCTTTGATCACTGTTGCACTGAAACATTGTGCTGAATAACTCTGTAAATTAGACTGGAACATAAGTCTTGTATGATGTTCTGTCTAGAGCAGATGCTGTGAATAAGCACTATAGTCTATCCTTTGTTGTCAGAATAAGCTTCAAGTTTGGCATGAATCAAGGCTATTGTGTCTTTCACAATCCTTAAATCTTTAAAATAAGATTACAATAAGCACGTCTTACAATTTTAATTTTAACTTAGGCTTCTGTTAAAACCTAACAGAAATGGGTAGATGTATTCTGTGAAGAAGCTTTTGTACAAGCTACCATACCCTTTAGAGAATGTTTTTGTATAGCTGACCTTTGTAAAGAGAAAAGGTTACAACAGTCAGATCTGCACATACCAGCTCCTGGGGCTTCGCCAGTATTATTTTTGGTTTACCTGGAAACAAAGCTGGTTAGTCCTAATTTCAAGATCCCTCATATAACTCTGTTGCCTTGAAAACGTACAAACTGTGCGTTCAGTCTATATATACACAAAGCCTCCGTCTATGCAGAGTTTACAGCTGCTTTACTACATTGGCAAAACTGTAGCATAGGTATCATTGGTACTTAAATTGTGGACTGTTTAATTAACCATGATTTGTATACCAAAAGACTAAATCCAGCTGATGAGATGCATTTGCTGCAGGTGCTTAGAATGTAAATGTACTTTACAAAATCAGCTATAGCATGTGAAGACTGAATTCAAGTAGACTTGTTTATGCTGTGTTTCCATCTAATTACACATACATTTACATACCTCTCTTGCTGGCATCCTTGGGAAGCATTATTGGATTTAGAAAAAATACTCAGATTTGATTTTTAAAAAATAGTAATCATCTCAGTTTTGTTCTGTTTTTTGTGGGTGGTAGTTTTGTATGTGGTTTTAGGGGGGAGGGTGATTTTTGGGGGTGTGATTATTTTTTTTTTTTAAGAGTAACTGAGTCTGCAAAAATTAGTTGATAGCATTGAGTTTGGTTAGGGTATTTGGTAATAAAATACAAAGGAGCCACATATTTGTTTATTCAGTGTATAAATCCTGATTTTCCTTGTAGGTTTCCAAATGCGGGAAAATCATCCTTGTTAAGTAAGGTTTCTCATGCCAAACCTGAGATTGCAAATTATGCATGTAAGTTCACACACTTACTTTTAGAGCAGTAATATTTCATGAGAGCAAAGTCTTTTCTCTGACTTGGTTTGCCGGTTTATAATAAAGACTAAGGTATAACCATGTTGCCTGTCAAATATGTTACACAGATTTTTAATTATGAGAAATACTCCAAAAAGAAACTTGCTGTTTCAGTGTCAAGTCCCTTTAACAACCTCACATTTTCATGTGTGCCCCCTCATAGTGCTTCAACCTAAGCTGAAGTTCATGCAGGATCTATTTAACATTTATTTTAGTCTCAGCCCATTTAACTGCATCTGAGACTATGCTGTGTAATGTCCTTTGCCTACTAAACATGCACCAAGTTCGTTTACATAAACATCTTGTATGGTTTGGAATTCGCTACCACCTGTTCTTCCAGCAAAGTAAGATTTTGGTTTTGAATCTCTTCACTGAAAAATGGACAGAAATCTTTTTGCTGTTTTTCTATCAGTAAATCAGGTTTAGTTATCTGATCATTTTTAAATTAAAAAGAGTACACAAATACCAGTAATGCCTACTGATCTTGCACCACTCCTGATTCAGTGCAGCCTTTTCATATTTTAACTCAGTGTGAAGAGGCCTGTTTCACTTTGCCTTTTGTTAATTTTTTTTTCCTCTTTGGAAGCTTTTCCATAGAGTGGTGAATAATTTTTGTGTCTGAGACTTCCTTCATCATCATCCCTTTTGGGGATGACAGGACAGAACTGAAAGGGTGCCAAGACTTGGCTAGCCATTGGTTTTTGGGTGGTCTGATTTTGTTTTCTCTTGGTTTGCTTTTCTTTATTTCTTTTCCAGTAATTTTAAAAATTCCATTTGCCTTGTTTTTTTTCTGCTACTATTTGTTTAATTTAAATAAGTCCCACAACATTTAAATGTTTTGTAACATGAATATCTTCTAAAATGTAAAAAACAGTTTTGTTTTCTTCCCCTTCTCTTTTTCCCTTGTCATAGTTACAACAGTACAGCCTCAACTAGGTAAGATCATGTATGCGGATTATAAGCAGGTTGGTATGAAGGTTCATTCTGGTTGTTCATTAAAGTTGTGTATAATGATTAGTTATGTTGCTTAATATAATTTCAGAAAGAAAAGGGAAGCTTGTAGGTTTTTTTCATATGTGTATCTATAATGTATACATATAAAATGCAATAACATGCACTTAATGAGAGTTGTGGAGAAAGTGCTATTTTTATGAAATAATAATAAGAGAGCTTTAAAGCCAAATGCTAATATGTAATATGAGGTTGAGCTAACTTCAAGTCACTTTGGAAAATGGCTTCTTTACCCTTGTCTCCTTTCTGTGGTTCTAATCCTGCTTTTATAACCTTAGAGTTGTGAACTAGTGTGTGGAACTGAGATTGCTGTGTTCTAACTCTTGTTCAGGACTTTAAAAAAAAGTCATTGTTTCTGAGACTAACCTGTTATTTTTATTTAGAAGAGGCAGATTTTAGACAAGTTGACTATACAGAAAGCTCTGGAATGATTAATTTTAAGAATGGATTTTAAACAGTGGCATATTTGTCCAATAGCTGCAGATCTGCAGTAGTGAATGACAGGGAATTTAGCGAATATAACTCAGTTACTGTAACTTACTGTTTTGTCTTTCTAGGTTGGCTGATCTAACTTCCATTTTGGTTTGCCCTGGGCTTGGTGTTTTGGTTTGGGTTGTTTTATTTCTTTGGTTTGTGTTTTTTTTTTTTTGTTTTGTTGGGGTTTATTTTATTTGCCCATTTTTCTGTTTTTTAATAAACCATAAAATAGTATGAAGTGATGACAGCCTAAACAGCCAGGATAGTGCACAATCTACGAGGTAAGGTAGCTGGGTCCAGTTCTTTTTGTTGTAGCTCTGGAGGACTGGTGGAGCTACTGCCAACCACTTTAATTTTTGTGAACCCAAATTCCACCCAGCTTTTTCAGGTAACTCTGTGGTGCCTGGAATCCTTTCTACAGTATCCACTTATGGGAAAACCAGTGCTAAATGAGACTCTTACTAGTAGATTTTGGACCACAAGTTCACGTAAGGTTACAGCAAACATTTTCATTCCTCAAGCTTGAATGTTCTTTGAAGTGCTTTTATTTTGTCTTTGAAGGGTATGATATATGCAGTACTGGACTTACCATTTGCAAGATTAAAGACAAATGCATAAAAGGTTTTCAGATGAGTTAACCAGAAAAGCTACGTCTCAGATGTGAAAAGACAGAAAACTCCTCTTTTCACTTTCAGAAGCAATAATCTTAGGGGGTTCAGTAGCTGATGCTTGAAACCTTCATTTAACATCCTTTTACAAAGCTGTGCATTAAAGGAAGGAAGTAAGTCTTTGTCAGGTTCCCTGTAGAGATGCACACATCTAAGGGAAATTTTTTGTATGTCCATTTTATCTGCTGGTTTAGGGTAGTTTGTCCTAGAAAGCTTGGCTGCAAATAACAGGATTGTTTATAGTGTTTTTGAAAAACTACCCACCTGCCATGGATCGGGACCTCTTGCTCTTACTGGTTTATCTTTCTCCAGCAGAACTACTTGCACTCGTGGCTTTCTTTCCTGCAGTTTTTTTGTCTCTTACAGAGTGACCCTATTGTTGGCTGTATCTGCAGTTCATGCTTTTTATACTAGAATGTGGGTGATATATAGGAGCTATATGGACAAAAAAAATCTTTTCTGAATTCAAGGGAACTAGTGATTTGTGATTACAGGGAACATTTGTGAATAAGAGGAAGTACTTCAGCTCTGAGTATTGCAACTGCTGAAAACAAAACAGCATAATTAAGAGCAGTAATTGAGGTGACTGTTCTGGAGCATTCCAGGGAGAATGGCTCATTACATCCTTTTTTTTTAAATTCAGAACATGTTTTTTTTTTTTTTTAAGGAAATAGGTAGCAATTTGCTTATTTTATCTTAGAGCATTTTGAAGAAGAAATTACATGCAAGTTACCTGGTGCTGTGTGTCACTGCTGCTTGGAAAAGACACAAAGTAGAGGATCTGAGTAAGAAGAGTCTGGAATCAGATCTTAATACCAGATCATGGAAACTAGCAGAACCATTTTCATCATCTGCCAGAATATCTGAACCAAGTGCTGTTTTGAGAGAATATGAGGGGCTTTTTATGAGCTCCATAAAAAATATTCTTTGAAAGAGAACTGAAGTTAGGGAAAAAGCTGCTTTTGATGGGACTACAGCACCCAAAGCCATCACACCAGGAAGTGGATGCTTCTGTTCTAACTCTCCAGTTGTTCTCTCCCTGTTTCTAGTTATAAGCCTGTAGTTCATCCAGCTGTATCTCATGTCACATTTTCATGGAAAATTCTGAAGGAAGGCTTCAAGTATTTAGGAAATGAATAATAATTAAAAGTTAGTGTAACACAAATGGGAGTGTAACTCACTCATAGCAGAAAGCACCCTTCTGCCATAGGTAGCACACTGGAAATTTTGTTTGCTGGCTTAGGGTATTGTTCAGTTGAATCCAGTTGATGTCTAAATGGGTATTGGATAGATTTGACAACCCTACTTTTGTTCTTCTTTGCCTCACTGTCTTAGCTTTCTGTGAGTTACTGAGTAGATATTTGGGGCTTTAGTATACTGCTCTTTTTCAGTCTGTCTCAGCTCTCCTTTACAACTGTTTACAACTCTCTCAACCAGCACAGAAAATGACAAAATACCTTTCCATTGGGACAGTCTCTGCTGGCTTTGGTTAGAAGTTGATATACTAATGGAACTGCTGGAGAACAGATCCCCCACCCAATTCCAAGGAATACACGTGCTTGTAAAAGGAGTCTCTCAAAGATATTCCTGACATTCCTTGTCTGGATTCTTTTGTTTTCTGTAAAATGATAATAGATGTTGATGGTTCAAAGTAACCATTTTTGCTTGTTGGAAATATTTTGTCTGAAACTTGTTTCCGTAGATCTTGGTAGCTGATCTCCCAGGACTGATTGAAGGTGCACACGCAAACAGAGGGATGGGCCACAAATTTCTCAAACATGTAGAAAGAACCAAACAGCTTCTCTTAGTTGTAAGTGAAATAAAATTTACAGCTTATTGAAATCAAAGGCAGTGCAGTAAATAAGATGCATGTTTATTGCAGTGTAGTTGGAATGTAGGAAGTAGTTTATAATTTGCATGTTTATGATAAATGTAGCTGCAGTATGGTTTTCAGAATGGAATGCTCAAACAACTGATGGTAAATTAAGGCCTTAAATACAATAGAATATAGCCAGTTAATTTAGAGCAGTGAATTGCTCCAAGTATAATTAAAGCATGGGATGATTTTTCTTCTTCTTTCTTTCTGTAAGATCCCATAAAGAAGAGGTTTAAAAATCAAACCTTTTCTCAAAACCAATCAGTTCATGCTGCTTCCAGTGTCTGTAGTGTTACTTTGGTGTATAGTTGCCCTCTGTCATTTCCCAGGAATGAGGGCATGTACATGGACATTGTACTGCAAATTAGTTGATGGAGAGTACCTTGATACTGTAGCATAACTTAATACCACAAAGCTTGGTTTTGTGTCACTTTTTCAGGTTGATATTTCTGGGTTTCAACTGTCTGTTAAGACTCAGTTCAGAACAGCCTTTGAAGCTATACTGCTTCTAACAAAGGTAAGTCCTCATCTTCCCAGTTGGTGGTTGTAGTTACATGTAGAGGCAAGAAAGAGGCTCAGTTCTGATTAAGAACTTTCAAAATGTTAGTGTGTCTTCTGGATTTATAATAATAATAATTCTGGATTTATAATAATAATGCAGACAAGCTTAAACTTCTTCAAAATTATGAAATCTTTATTTTTAACTGTCCAGGTTAAACTGCTCTATTTTATGTTGGGCACAACTGCTCCTTCATTAATGTGTGCAGCATATGGGATATTTCTTACAGTCAAGGTGAAAAGACACATCATGTTCAGTTACCCAGTCTGGATGCATTTTAGGAAATAGAAATACATGGGTATAGTTAAATCCCTGCCTTGGTGCCCTTGCTGCACAGCCTAATGGTGATGAGACGTCAGGCCTAGCTGTGCAGATATTCAGTATTTCCATCTCTTACAATTGCTTCTGATTAAAATAAAGCATTTTATGTAATTTCAGGTTTAGCAACTGTTTTCTCTCTGGCTACACAACTTAAGATGATGAATCTTCTGAATTTCAGCTATTGCTGTTCATTTTTAGCTTACTCACAGTTGTGACTTTATTTCTGATGTTAACCATAGTCCACTTAAGTCCTTAAAAATCAGAAAACTCTCCAAAGAATTTCCTTACACGTTTTATAGATCTGAACTTTTTCTGAAATGGATTTTGTGGTTTTGGCTATCAGAAAAACAAACCTAAACCTCATTCTTTTTATTGGAGGCTGTTTCAGAATCAGCCAGCCTGTTTACCTGAAATACCTCTGTTTGAACAAGAAGTCACTTAACATTATTTTCTTCTGACAGGTTGCTTTAATACATCCACCTTGAGCACCTTTACAGCTGCTTAGGCATGAAAGACTGATATAAAATTGAAGTAGCACTTATTAAACTACAAATACTTACTAAGGCAAATTTACTTATCTTTCAAGGAGCTGGAACTGTACAAAGAGGAACTGCTAACAAAGCCTGCACTTCTTGCCATTAATAAGATGGATTTGCCTTGTGCAAAGGGTAACTTGAACGAACTTATGAAACAACTACAGAATCCTCAAGGTAAATTAACTTCCAATGATTGCGTTCAACAAGTCATAAGATTTCATAAGGGTTAACTGCATTGGCTAGGAGTTGTTTGAAGCTGAAGTCAGCTATTAAATTTATTATTTGAACATATGTTTTAAAACCACTTCCTGCATTTAGAGCTCTGTTTATATGCATTTTAGTGCTGCCTTCACTGTTGGGGTAGTACTTTAATAAATAGAGATATCCTAGAAGATCTTTCCAAACTATGATAGGGAAGAGTAAATTTCCAGTCTAGATATGTTAGATAACAGTAACCTCTGTTGAAGGTCCCCTTACGGACGTTGATGTATATACATTTCTCTGGCCAAAGCATGTGAAAATACTGGACAGGCCTATATAGTTTTACTTCAAATTTGCTATTACCTTGGGGTGCATTTCTTCCCTTGAGTATGTAAGAACCAGGAAAGCTTAAAACCATCCATATCCCGAATCCTGCAACTTGGCATTTCTTTGTACTCATCTTAAAGGAAGGTGTAGAATCTTCTCATGAGAGTGTAAGTATGGCTTAACTGTTGTGTTAGTGCTTGTCTTCAAAGCCTTTAGCTATTTTTTTAAAGATTAAGCAAATAATAACTTAGATATTAATTGCAAGTATGTTTACTGAAATTTGTTAAAGCTCATTTTCTGAATGCAGTGCGCTTCTATGGGCTTTGTAGTGATACACTGTTTGGGGTTGTACTAACTCCTCTGATCGATTTTTCAGACTACTTACACTTAGTAGAAGAAGAAATGATTCCCGCAAATACACTTGAATTCAAAGATATAATTCCTATATCTGCACAAACTGGAGAAGGAATTGAGGAATTGAAAGCGAGTATAAGAAAGTCCATAGCTGAGGAAGCAGAGCAGGAGAATGAAGAATATCGGAAAAAGAAACTACTACTTTTACATGCTTCAGAAGAACAGATGAATAGAAGATAGTATTCGTGGCTGGATACAACACATTTTAGTATTTTCCGTATATGTATGAACCCATTTAATTTTTGTTCCCTTTGCCACCACTGCCCACTTCTCTGCTCCCTCCCCCCCGTTGGTTCAGTGTCTTTTGGCACTTGGATAGAGCACAGTGGGGAAAAAAACGGGGTTTTGTGATTTACCTTGACTACCGACTCAACAGAGTAAAGATCAAAGTATGTGCAACTCAAAAGTATTGCTTTAACAACTGGTGATCTCTGGAGTATTTTTTGCCAAATGAGATGAATGGAAGGAATATAACTCACAGAGGTAGCAAAGGACCAAGTTCAACTACTCCATGTTTTGGAAACACCAGGGGCAGTTTCTCATGGAGCAGGTTTCCAGGTTGCAGTACTTCTAATGTGAACCAGTTCTGCTACTTCAACAGGCATCAGATTGTGGGGGGGTTTGTTATTTCTAAAGATTGAAAGGAAACAAAAAAATGGCAGCAAGGAAGTGACTTGTACGAACACAAAAAAGCAAAGCTGATGTGTAATGTTGGGGTTTTATTCCACAGCTGCCAGTGTCTGCTGTAATACTCCTGAGGATATAAATCCTGATTCCAAATTCCCGCTCTTTCATTTGGGATTTCTTCCTTTTATGGAGTTGTGGGTACACGTTACTTTTTAGTGAAGGAAAGGATAACTGCTTTTCAACAGTTGGGGAATAGTGTATGTTCCAGCTTTTGTGTAACAAGCAGGCATGCATTTTATTTTTGGAAAAAAAATAAAAAAGAAACCAAACAAGTGCTTTATTGTATGTTTTGGGATGGGATGTATGGGATGTTTTCTATTTCAATGGTATTAAATTGATTGCAAAGCAACATAAGACTGAATGCATCAGCGGCTTCTCAGCTTAGTTTGGTTTTGTTTTGTAAGCGCACTTACCAAACCGTGCTTCTCTAAATTTTGTTAAAGCAGTCACGGGGAAAAAAGGTGTGATTTATCATGATCCAATTCTATTATCGTTTAGTACTGGTTCTTATTCCTATTTTCCTCTAATTTTACTGTGTGTGTGTCCGGCATATTTTCACCAAAGTAAAGCATGGGCTGCAGACAATTTTTGATACTCCATTTATTTCATCGTTGAAAATAACATGTTTAATGGGGGGGGGGGGGGGGGCGGAAGGATTGCGATGAGAACAACCTTGGCTTTATTTAAGCTGTGCATGAAGAGTTGCGATGAATAGGTAAGGTGTACGGTAACTTGTGGGTTAAGGGCAACGCAGTTTAATAAGCGAAGGAAAGCAGCAGCAGCAAACGCAGGCGCTCCCCATCTACCACTGTCGGGCCGGTACCCCGCCGCTCTCCCGCGTAACAGCTGCTTTGTGCAGCAGGCACCGGCTCCTCGAGCGTTAACCACGTAGCCGCCGTACGTAAGGAGCCTGCTCACAGCACCGCCTTTCCCAGTGGCGGACCCCGCGCGGGTCGCAACCGCTGGGAGCGGAACACGCTTCCTGCAGGAGCCGCCCCGCGCACCCACTACCGCCCCGCGGGGCACGCTGGGAGTTGCAGTGCGGTCGAGGGGGCTGGCGCTGCGGCGGTGCCGGACTAAACCCGCAGCCCCGCCGCGGCCTCCTGAGGGGAGAGGCGGCCCCGGCGGGCGCAGGTCGGGCAGCGCCGCGGCGATGGTGCCTTCGCTGCGTGGCCCCGTGCGCTGACAGGAAGGTGAGCGCCGGAGCGGGCATGGGGGCGGCGGCGGCGGCTGCCGGGCCGTAAAGGGGCTGATGGGCCGGCCCGGTGCGCCGCTGTTGAGGGGGCTTCGCTGTCGGTAGGCCGGCGGCGGTGGCGGTGGCGGTGGCTTCAGTGACTCGCCCCGGCTGGGAGCGCGACAGGTCGGGAGCGCGGACACCTGGTGGTGTTTGGCTTTTGCCGTGCAGGCAGGGCAGCAGCTGAACCACTCGGGGAGGGGGGAGGTTTGTGTTTTCCTTTTCGGCCTTGGCTGTCGTCATCTGTTTTTCCTAGATCAGCGGGAACCCGTGCTACATGCTGGAAAACGCTAGTGTATTAACTAGGAATGCTGAGTCTAATCCTGTGCATCTGGATTTAATTTTAATAGGAGTTTTGTAAGACTTGGAACTGTGTGATGGATTTCCAGAAGAAGAAAACATGACTGGTGGCACTGATTCTTTACCAGTTACTTCCCATTATCTTGAAACAGGATAGCTGTTGGTCTCTCGTTGCAGGTGGTCAGTTATACAAAACTCATTACGATTTTTTTAAACTGATAACACTGTTGTGGATAGGTAGAGAATGTGTTTGTTTATAAATTGTTCTTAGTGGGACCTCTCCTGCAGAGCTCTACAGAACAGCAGTGGTCTTAGGGCTGTGCAAGGGAACAGACCTGGCCTTACTCATCACTGAATTATGTCTCTAGTAAAGGCTTTTTTTTTTTCCTTCTTTGCTTATTTTGTGCAGCTTGTGAGCAGTTAAATGATCTACCAGGTTTTAACCAGCTTCAGCAAGCATCTCTTGTTACAGCAACATAGATCTTTAAAATAGGAGCTGTGGCAAAGTCTGTCCCTGAAGTGGTATGAGGTAACGGTGGTGGACAGGATACAAAAGCCTTGAATATTAAAGCTGTAAGATCCTTGGGATATACAAAGCTTGTATCTATAATCCAGGACAAGACAGGGTTTCATCTGCCCTAGCCAAAGTGAGCTTTCTTCCCCTGGACAGCTGGTTCAGAACTGGCTGAGGTCCTTACCTGTGCAACACCACCAGTGACAGAGAATAAAGTCAGATGGACTAAAAGGGTAGAGGAAGATTAAAAAAAACTCCCATGTCTATAGAAATGGAGGACTTTCAGAGTTAGATGTGGTAGAATATTCCATACCTGTTCTGTATCTGTTTGTTACAACAGCTGGTGGCTGCAGGTTGTCATCATTTAATGGGAGGGACTCTTGGGATAGGCAAGGCTCCTTTTCTGACACGTTTGTTTGCCAGTACTAATTTTCTACTTGATTATGGTTATTACTGAGCACTGGCTGGTATTCTGGGGTGTGACCCTGCAGAGGGAGGTCTGCATGTTTATCTTAGCTTTGGTTGCTACTAAATGCACAGAAAGCTTAAAATTGCTGAGAAATACTAGTGAATAAAAAGATCTGCTCCAAGCTGTGCAGTAATGCTTTTTTGAGACCCAGACTTAAAAAAATACAAACAACTCAGCTCTGCTGCTTCTCCAAATGCAGCTGAGAGTGTTGCTGCTGATCTCTGCAGCCTTTCATAGTTAGTGTCCCCAGATTGCTGTGTTTACTCATAGTAGTCTTGGCTGATTAAGTTGGTAGTGGGAATGCTTGATTTGATTTTTGTCTGCATTTCTGTGTCTTACATGTGATAGCATTCATATTGGAGGACTCCAGACTTGGAAATTCACTTTCTCGTTTAGTGAAAGATACGGGTTGCATGAGTGTGTGCTGTCAGGTCTCTCTCTTGCCTAGATGGTTTGATAAATTCTTCGATGTTGCACTCCAGGAGACTACACATATATAAATGTTAGATTATTTCAGGATTTGATATAGATTATTTAAGAGAAATTCAATGTCCTTGTACATGTTAGTACAGCAAACTCACCTTTAGATTGTAGCTCTTAACAGTCACATAATGACATCCTTGTAGATCTGACATCATCCAGCAGAAAAGCCATTTTCCCATTATGACCTGCATAATTGTTCCTGGGACTCAGTGTATGGGTGTAAAGACTCCACAGAAAAAAAAGATCCTTTATCCTCCTCTGGGAAAGCTAGACAGCCATTGAAAAGGCATCATCATCGGTACTTCCCTTGTGTAGAGAAGCCAGGAAGGAATAGAGAACCACAAGTATATAAACAGTTCAGAGTCTGTGTTTTGTTCTCATTAAAAACAGTTTTATCCCCTTCACCCTGCTGTTTAAGTGCAGCCTGGAACCTAACATCTGAAATAATAATTTTATGTGACTTGGTGTGTTTGGGAGTTTATTTTGTTAGAAACATAAAACTGAGGATCTGAAAACCTTCCTGTCTTGAAACACCCTTGAGAAAGGGAGCTGTTTGCACTCCTCTTATCTGTTCCATAAAGACAGAGATAAGTAGATAGAAAGAGAACATGCTCCTGGGGAAAGGGGAAAAAAAAATGTAGTTTGAGCTTTGTTTTTTAAATAAGAGGAAATTGTACAAAGGTGCTGAAGTCAGCCTAATGTGAGCATATCTGAGATTCCTTATTTCTGAATTACAATGTTAAACAAATGCATGAAACTAATATGATGCTGACACTCTCCTTGTTCTGTCTCTTAGATCCAGTAACACCTTTCTTCCTACTTCTAGAAGTTGCTACGGTTTCTCTTGATTTGAACACACTGCTGGTAAGTACACTGGATCAGTCTTAATTAAGGCAACATCTGTTTTGTTACTGACTTAATCAGGGACCTGTAACTGAAGCTGTAATTACAGCCATAAAGCTAGCAGCTTTGCAACGTGCAGCAGCATTCCATCAGATGGAGTGATCACGGATAACTTACCTACAAATTCACTTTCCCTTGATACCTCTAATGGGAAAATGAGATATTTTCTATGTATTTCCTAAGCCAAGAGAAGCACTAAGGACTCTTTAATTTTATTAAAAACAAAACAAAGAAACAAACAAAAAAACCCACCCAAAACCAAACAAAAAAAACCTCACCCCCTCAAAAAACCCCCACGAACCTAAAACAACCACCACCACCGAAAAAAACCCTCAACCAACTAAACCAAAAAAAAACCCTCAGCAAAGCCCAGCCAAAATCCCTACCTTGCATTCCTGGTGCATCTACCAAAAATAAAATATGCAGGGTGGTCTAAGCACACTTGGCAACCATAGGATGAACTACAGACTAAAGTCTTCTGTCTGTGTAACTGGTACAGCAGAGGTAATAGAAAAATACAAATTTCCGCATGCTGTCTGAAGTCCTGGCAGTGTAGTCCTTGCCATAAGTCTACCTTGGTGACATAGAAGGAAAGAAAATACCCCCTTTTTTCTTGTCCGCCCTCTTGTATTAGAGAATACGGATGAACCTCACATCTTTTTTTGCCCACCCTGCATTAACTCTGCCCAGATTTTCAAATGCAAATGAATTTGCACAAACCATGGGTTTCTGAAAATGGCCACTCCTGTGCTTATTCCAGCTGCTTCCAGTATTTGTGGAAATTCCTCATCTGAAAAGTTCCCTGGGTATTTGATGTTTGCAGGTGTAGAAGGAGAGTAAGGGATCAGATCGTAGTTCTGTATGGTTGCAACCATGTCTGCAACCTTTCTGAGATACAGATGTGCAGGTATTTGTGTACACGTTAGGTAGAGCTTCTGGTACCTAAAGAATTGTTTTATGACTTTAGACAAATAAGCACAGTGCATTGTAATGATTTTGAAGAAATTTCAGTAGGAGTTTATGACCGAATGGCACTCAGTGAGAATATTCAAGGTACTCTCATTTTTAGGTACTATAATTTTTAGTGTCTTGCTTCAGATATATTCTGAGGTTGATGCTCAGTGCCTGTTATGGATTAGGCTTCTTTAAAGTATCTCAAGCTCCCAAAGGAGGGGATTACTCAGACTGAATCTTTTTAAAAGACCCATCATTGAGACTGTTTCCTGATATCCCTCCAGGTAAGAGACTATATACTGGGTACACAGACAGGGGTTATATTGAAAAGGAAGCAATGTTCTTTAACACTGGTTTTGAAGAGGAAAATGTGACCCCTGAAAAGCCATCTGCTTTCTGGAATTGCTTGCGTCTTGGACAGCTGCTTTTGAGAGGCAGACATAGTGTGGAAGAACTGTTAATTGCCTTTGAAAAAGTCATAGTACGGTAATCAGCAGAGTCTTCTCTGCTACTTTACAGCTCTCATCAACAATTTGTTCTATATATAATGTGTATAACTGTGTACATATCCATTCCTTGTCCAGTCTAACTGTGTTGGGTTTAAGCAATTCCTTTTTAAGGTAGGACTTAAAAGTCCTACTCTGATATTACATCTGGGCTAAAGGGGGAGCTGCCAGTTGAGGAGAGGTGAACTTAAATCACAGTCAGTGATTCACTTTCTCCACCTGAACTCTGTTGAAGTCCACACAGTGACACAAGATGAAAGGCTGTGTAGAATTACATGTTCAAGTGCTCCTTTTGAATTTTGATCACAGTGAATTTAGGAGTCTGTCAGCTGAGCGGTCCTAACAGTCTGTGAAAGAATCTGGTGTTTCATTAAAGCATGAACTTGGTAATGCTAGCTCCACATAAGGGTGTAAGGCAAAGAACATGCCAGAGAGTTACTGCCTACTGGCTGCCATACAAGTTTATTAACCTGGGATGAGTCAGTGTTAGTCCTGTGTCTGTAAACTTTCACCTACTGACTTCTTTTCCCTCTTCTTCATTGCAGGAAACGACTTCTGTGAGCAAGCATGGGCTGCCGGGATGTTCATGCAGCGACCGTCCTGGCCTTCCTCAGCGGAACAGCCTCAGTAGCTGGACTCCTTGCAGCAGTTCTTCTTCCAAACTGGAGGCAAATGAGACTGTGCACATTCAACAAGAATGAGAGGAACGTGACAGTTTACACTGGACTTTGGATTAAGTGCGCTCGCTTTGATGGGAGCAGAGACTGTGTGATATATGACCCACAGTGGTACACTGCTGTCGATCAACTGGATTTGCGTGTTCTTCAGTTTGCCCTTCCACTGAGTATGTTAACTGCTGTCTCGGCTCTGTTTCTCTGCTTGGTTGGCATGTGTAACACAGCCTTTGTATCGACTGTGCCAAACGTCAAACTGGCTAAATGCCTTGTGAACAGTGCAGGCTGCCACCTCGTGGCTGGCCTCTTGTTCCTGCTTGCATGTGCCATTTGTCTCACTCCATCAATCTGGGTCATTTTTTATAACAACTATCTGAACAGAAAATACGAGCCTATCTTTAGCTTTGACATCTCCGTTTTTATTGCCATTGCCAGTGCTGGTGGTCTGTTTTTCACTTCCATTATGCTGTTTCTGTGGTACTGTGCATGTAAAAGTCTACCTTCTCCTTTTTGGCAGCCCCTCTATTCCCATGCCCCTAGCATGCACAGCTATGCCTCCCAGCCGTATTCTGCACGCTCTCGTCTCTCTGCCATGGAAATCGACATTCCTGTTGTGACACATGCAACTTAAGAAGACAAACTCTTGGAAGCCAAGTTCTTAAGCTCATTCAGACCGTGAAAATTGCAGGCTTGATTCTCTCTGCTGCCTTGTGCTGAGCATAATCATTTGTAAGGTCAGGTTTCCAAAGGTGCAAAGCAGTGGAGCTGCGAGTTTAGCAAGCCTCTTGCTGTTCTCATGTGTTACTTCCTGACCAACTTTTTTTGTTTTCTGTTGTTTTTTTTCTAACTCTGAGCTCACTACAGACAAAGTTGCTGCTGCTCCTTGAACATTACACTAACAATAGCACCCGTTCATCCTTCTGATTATTGAGGTCAGAGCAGGTTTGAACATCTTTGCTATTTGATAAGCTACTGGTCCCATTATAAGAGCTACATAGGTGGACCCTTGCACCCCTGCATTATCCAAATGCAGGCAGTGGAACTGAGTGCAAGGAGTTCAGATTTTCATGTTCATCTGGACACACATATTTTAAGATGTAATGTATGAAAAGGGTATTTGGCAGACTAATCCAATTCTGTAGCAGTCTGTTTTCCACTGTACACACAAAAAGCTACCTGCTTACAAACTTCTGTAATGGAATTGGTGTCAAATTACCCTTTATTTTCAAAGTAGCTATCAGAAGACAAAAATCTGATTTAAGTAATAATGTTGTTCTGTACTGTAATAGCATTTTGTGAATTGCTGGAGGCTAGAAACTTTTTTTGTGATTTTTATTTCTAGTCTTTTTTACTGAGTTAGCAAGTTCACTGAATCTATTTTGTGATTAAAACAAAAGCCACCTGTATTTTAAAAATTCTGTTTAGAAGCTTGAATATTTTATATGAAGGCCATCTTAAACATAGATTTTCAAGTAGGCTTTAAAGTATTAGTTCTACTAATGTCACTTGCTGCAAGATGGATTAGAATTCTGAAGGCTATGAAAGATTCTTTTGGAACAGTGTACACAAGCTATAACAACATCTCTCTAGGAGGGGGATTATAACCCTGAGGAGAGATTTTTAAATCTAGAATTATTTTTTTTCTTAATGTATATACAAGTAACAATGAGCTTGTGTATTTTTCAGAGTCGTTTTTTATGGTTGTTGACTTTTCATGCTGTAGCTGATTTAATTACCAACTTCTCAGCCTTTTTCTTCGACACCTTTCAAGTTGAGCTATTTTGAAATCCAGTTATTTCCTCTGCTGCTACTTCACAAGTGGAAAAAGTTTCCTATTCCTATTTGCTGTAAGATGAGGTTTTAAATAACTTAGCTTCACCTTGTAGCTCTGCAAGGATGAGGAAGGATTATAAATTCCCAATCTGGGATGTCTTTGAGTCATGTTTTTTTCCTTCTAAAATGCAGAGCAAGTCAGCCCTAAGGATCAAAGCTTTTCAATATGGGCTCTGAAATTACCTGGAAGTTTTATGACAGTGAGTTGAAGAGTGTTACAATTAAGGCAAGTATTTGATTTGCTCAGATTTTGGTGACTTGAGATCTTGTGTTGAAGACCTCATTCCAGTAAGGAAAGTTATTTTGATTGATGGCATTCTGGAGCTCAGTGGATATTTGTATTTTATTTATCTCAGAACAAATTTGCTTTGCTAAAAAAAAAAAAAAATCTTAAATTCCAGTTCTGTAAACTCACCGAAGGCCCTGAAAATTAGTTCATTTCTTTTTCCATGGGAACAAATGCTGTGCTGGACAAATCTTGTTGTGTTACAATCTGTGCGATAACAGTGTACTAAGAGGAATCATTGTGTTATAGCTGGTGGAGCTGGGATTTCAGCACAGAGTAAGGAAGCTGATCCCTATCATAAATGCCAGCATAGTCAGGAAAGTGGCAGGCCTTTTGGACCAAGTGCTTGATTAAATTGCAGTCTAAGGAATTAACACTGTGGATGATAAAAAGCACTTGAGAACACAGGCCTCTAACATTACATGAATTTAATACCCTTTTAGGTTTATGAGGCATGATGTTAGGTGAAATATCTTTTATAATTTCTTTAATCAAATCGTGACTTGCATGGGATTAGAACACGCATAATGACATGCAAGCCAGTTGTTTCTTCGAAACTGAACTTTGCTTTACAGTTACTCTGTTTGTCCAGCCTCAGATTCTGTTGCTGTTTCAGCTGCCCATATTGTTTGATGCCTTGTCAGGTCAAAGCAAAGGGACTGCTGGTTTGTGATTTAACATCCGCTTGCTTCTTCATCGCTCTGGTGTCTCTTCTTCTTTGTGCCTTGCTTATGTTATGAGCTGGTCGCTGAATGTTAGTTTACAGTCAGTGCCTGGTATGCTTTTTGAATTTACATTTTTATCATTTTGGAGAGATGAGGAATACATCTCAGTAATTTTAAAAGGAGCTGAATCTTCAGTATCTCCAGAGCAGGAAAGGCAGCCTGGCAAACTGATGTTTTCTACAAGAGAGTAAATGCAGCCAGTGTTTTGTTGTACACTTTAAATAGCAGATGTTTCTGACAGCTCTTTTGTATTCTTTGATTTTTATGCACTAAACTTTCACTTGATATTTGCTGCTGCCTCAGCTGGTAACTTGTTGCTTTGAAAATTGTGTCTTTCCAAAAGTCTAATAGAGCCAAGCTGTGGGAGGTGGGGATCCAGAAGCTAGTGGATTCCAGCACAGTTTTCACTTAAGGTCTTATTTATCAAAAAGACTATTGCATCCTGTTGTATCACTGAAGCACGGATGGGTTTCTTTGAACAGTGCTGTTAATGTGAATTTCTGCTGGATCCCAAGCGAAATTAACTGGAAGTGCTGTGCTTTATTTCTCCTCCTCTACAGAAAGAGGTGGCCAACCTGCGACACTTGAGCCAGGTGCCACTGCAGCAATTCTCTTGCGAAGGTTACCATTGTGCCCAGCAGCAGGGCTGGGGAGTGACAGGCCTCCTGGGATCTGGGGGAACAGGACCCATGTCTCCTGCATGTGTCTCCACCAGGGGCCAGCTGCTGTGAGTGATTGGTAGCCCTGCCACTGTACAGCTGCTCTTTCCTGGGCACTTAGCTATGTACAGGACAGGCCTCTCTGGGCCTTGAACGCAGGAAGAGGTTTATTTGTGGCTGATGCAGTCAGAGGGTGCTCTGGGATGACAGGAGCCTGTATTTTTTTTCAAGTAATTCCTGTCCAACTTCTGAAGTTGTGTTTAATTACAGTGTTGGTTCTTTTTATGTGAAACAAGATGCGTATTTTTAATAAAACATTCTCATACAAATGGAGGTGATTTTGATTAATTTTGTGGAGAGCAGTAACTGCTAGAGTATCAAGGTCTACCTGTTTTGGTACTGTTTGCCAGACTTTCAGATGCCTTAGCAGGCTCAAAATGTTGCTTATATTGCATATATACTGCAATTTAACTCCTGATTTTACAGGACTCTTGCTTTAAACAAACAAAAACCAACCAAACCAAAAAACTCAACCCTTCTGCCATGCTCTGCAAGCTTGACTATTTATAATTTACTTATAAGCTAGTCCTAACATGTTCCAAGATTCGTTATCCCTTTAAAAGAAGGAGAGTGATTTCTCTTACATCTAGAGGCTTCCCTTTCTGCCCATGGACAGGATGCACACTGGGAACCAGGATCTGTGTCAGGCCCCCAGGAAAGCCAAAGTATTGGCAGGACATGGAGAAGCGTGGAGTCCTCGCCCTGTACTCACAGCCCTGTCTCTCCCCTGTCAGTTCTGCTACTCATGCAGCCATCATTTAACCAGTGCAACTTACTTGCAAACCCAGCTGGAACTCCTGAGCTGGGTTATTTTCTTCCTAGTATGGTAAGATTTGCACTGTATTAGTGTCAAACAACAGCAGTGGTGGCACTAGCCATCCTCCTGCCCTCTGCTGTGCCTGCTGTGCTCTCAGCTGGAGAATGCTACTGCCTTCTGTGTGAAAGTTGGTTCAGCATCCCAGGGACAGTCCAGGTTAATGATGATTCATTCCCATTGTGTGCTGCTCCTGACAACTACAGCTCAGCAGCATTGTGGTGACTCTGTACTGAGCCTTTGCCTTTGAACATTAGAAATGCTGCTGCCAGAGTGCAAGTTCACAAATCAACCTGGATTATTTATGCAGAATACAGTAAGACTTGCTGGTAATTCCTCTAGACTTCTTGTATTCTGAACTGGCATTCTAGTAAGTTGTTCTTTCTATCTGTTTGGGGAAGAAATGTTTATACAAGAACAGTTCTCATGGAATATGCACATGGAGTATAAACCAGTTGTTGCCAGTACTAAAACTCACTTGGGGTGGAAAAATGATTTTATATTCTCTGCTGTTGTGGGTTCATTTCCTTCTTTGATGGTTTTTCAAGACATGCCTCCTGTCTGCAAGAGCTGGTATAAACCTAGGGGCTAGTTGGGTGTTGACATAAACACTGGGATGCAGAGAACTCAGTTTCTCCCAAAGCATGGGAGAGCCTCATTTTTTTATTTTTTTTCATATTAAAATTCCTAAAAAACTACCCCACGTATTTGTGTTTATTGAAAACAAAACTCTTGACAGATTTTCCCCTGGTTTATTTCACAGGAATTGAGCACAGATGTGGTTTAGCAGGTATGTAATGTTACTTATCCCTTTGTATATCTACTGAGCAGGCATAAATATACATAGCGTACCTTAGACGGAGCATAAGCTTTTTTTGTATGGTTTTTGTTGTACTGCTGCATCAGCCTTTATCAAGCTGGACATGCAGAGGCCTCGTCGAAGGGTAAAATGGTGGTTTCTGATTTCAGCACTGCTTTTTATGTGTGTTCCAGGCAGTCAATTTGCTCATTCAGGTATTAGGCTTCTAGGGCTGGGGGCTTTGTTTTTTGCATGTAAAGGCTGAGCCCAGGGCAGTAGAAATTGTGGTGAGCTGGAGGGTATGAATGGTTAAGGCTATTTGGAGGAGAGAGACCAGAAAGCTGGACTTAAAGAGCAGTAGAAATTGTCCTAATTTCAGTTCTAACAAAGAGAAAAATAGGTAATTAAAGCTCTAAGTATCTGAACAACCTTCAAAGCACCAAAGACTCCCAGAATATGATAAGCAAACTTTGAAAACAAAGTGTATGAGTACTGCCCAAGAGGATGTGTCCTTGGGAACCACAGATGTTGGTCCCAGTGCACAGCACCACTTCCTAGCTACATGCCATGCCAGAAGCCTCTGTGTAGCCACTGCTGCCATGGGTGGCATTTTAGCATCAAAGCCTGGCACCAGCCTATCTGTAGTCTCGCTTACCCTGTGTTACATCACTTTCACCAGTCAGGGGGTCTGTAACCATTGATACTGCACTAGTTTTCTTCCCAAAGCTACAACATATTCATAAAGACGTATGTAAGATCATTTACAAATTCACACTGAATTTTAAGTAAATACTAACAGTTATGCCAAAAAGAAGCCTTTCCTAAAAACAGGTCCTGTATGTATTTGAACTTACTGCAGACACTTTCTGACCTACTATAGTCTTCAGCATGTGAGGTTTTTGTTTTTTTTTTTATGAGCTTAAGCAGATACAGTGTGCTGTATGGATGAAATCCCATTTTCTTGCTGCTTTTGTTCTTCTTCATTTATTTAGTTTTCAGCCTCCCAGGTGCCTAATCTGGTCTGCCTCCTGGTCATGAGCTCTACTGCCAACACCAGGGAGGCGGTGGGAATATGTGAGCAGAAGTAAAAGGGCAAGATGGCATGCTTGATGCCTCATGAAGTCTTACTCTCAGACCTTTGTTTTCCCGCTTACTGAGCAATTTACATAAGAAAGACTGTGTTCATTTGATTTTTTTTTTTTAAGGTGAGTTGTATTTATTAATTGTAAAAGTTGTTGGAAAAATACTGCATTTTGAGAAAAAACACAACATTAGCAAGGCAAAAATCACGTCTCAAAATATTTTAAGGTTTGTTCCCTTTTCATTTAATGCTAATTCAGTTAGTAAAAGAAGGTGTGGCAAGGAAAAAAGATAATGAAGCCTAAAGAGTTGACTTTTCAATTGAATGTGAAGATTACACTGCTTTAAACTATGTATATCTTAAGAAATCAGTAAGGAAAAGAGCTTGTTTTTTTAATAGATATATAGTGCCAAATATTAAGATACTTTCATCAGTTTATAGGTTAATCCAAATGGTTTAGTATTATCTCTGAAGACTCAGCATCATGTATCAGCATTATTGCACTGTTTTTACTCCTTAATCAAGCCAGCAAAGATAAAATGCTCAGGTTCTTCTATTGCTGTGCTAAGGTGTTCTGCAGGTGGATTGGATTTCCTGGACAAAGTGTCACCTTGGAAAGTAACTGGCAAGGAATCACATTCTCACAAAATAGGCTCAGTAGGAAGGCTTTTATTTTACAGTACAGCTGCCTGTTCTTGATTCAATTATACATCTTCCAGAGAAGGCCTTGAGAACACAAGCTCAATCATCAACAAAAATATTCACCTTTCTGTTCCTTCTTAGGCTTTGGTGCAAGTACCTTCATATTTAACTTGCCATATGCAACTCTGACCAAATGCTGTTGACCTTCACAACTGCAGAAGTGAGCACATTTCCCTTCCAAATAATCCAGACAGTCAGTTTAACAAGTGAGGAAGAGCTGGCTCTGTGACCTTGGTGGTCCACAGACAGCCACAACACGTGAATCATTGAGTCATAGCATACCAGGTTGGAAGGGACCTCAAGGATCATCTGGTCCAACCTGTCTTGGCAAAGCATGACCTAGACTAGATGTCCCAGCACCCTGTCTAGCTGAATCTTAAAAGAGGCCAGCGTTGGGGAATCCACCACTTCCCTGGGGAGATTATTCCAATGGCAAATTGTTCTCAGTGTGAAAAATTTTCCTCTTGTGTCCGGTCATGAGGTTTCTGGCATTGCAGCTTAGCAAGCACTGAGGTGTTGGTGGGCTCTCAGCAGTGCTTTTGTCAGCTGCTTCTGGGTTACAGAGTTCATAATTCATTATGGTACATCAGTTCCAGTTAGTTTGCATGTACACTTTCAAATGCCATGTGGCTGCACCTTAATTAGCCAAGGAGTTGTGAGAATCTTGGGAACAACTAATCTTAGTGGCTGATGCCTGTATGCCTCATGTGAGGAGTCATCTGGGAGCTGTAATTCTCTCAGGCTCTCAGCACTGATCTGCTTAGAGTTCTTGTAGAAGGTCTTGAACACTGGGCAGAGCAGCATTTGCTTTGACTAGATTTCACTACCCATGGTAAGATTCAAATGCATCACAGACTTTCTGGTTTAAAGCACAGGAACTGAATTCAAAAAGGTCTTACTGGATAGATAACATGAAAACAATGCAACTTGGTGAAATATGACTCTGAGCTGCCTAAGTGTGCATACTGAAGTACAAAAACCCCTGCAGCTTTGGAGTTTGACTCTTGAGTAAGCTAGGTAAAGTACCAAAGTTCAGATTTCTCTCCAGGAAGCATCTTTTACAAGACAGTGTCTCGGGCAACCCCTTCTTATTTTTGCAGGGCACCAGAGGTGGCATTAGGTTCTGCAGAAGCTTGTGTGTGGTCTATCACAGACAACACAGCCTATGCCTCGATTTGCTTGAATACTATTGTACACTTGTGAACTAAAATTGATAGTGCTTCCTGGGTCAGTTCTGGAAACTATTTTTTCTCACAGCTGCTTTTACAATGTTTTACATTTCATTTTGTTATTGATAATTAATCCACTACTGTAGCAATTTAACACATTTTCTTTGCTTTATTTCTGTGTCCAGCTGTCACAACTTTCTCCTAACAGGAATAAACGCAAGTTCCTAATGGCTAAAAGCTATTAATATGTTTTCTTGAGCTCCTGAAGTTCCCTATATGCCTTAAAGTGATTATTATGTTTCCTGAAAATATTGTCTGTGTCCAAGCACCATGCATATTATGTCTGTTGCTGGATAAGTGCATAACTGTGGCTGAACAAAAGAAGGGAGAATGCAGCAGAAGGCAGAACTTCCTTTTCCATTGGCACAGGCATGGAGGAAAGCACCAGAAATTTGGCCATGAGGTTTGAACTGAAAATCCCCATTCAATATATGATTCAGCCATGAACAAATCCCACTGTCTAGAAAGAAATTATCTGTAAATGAAGACAATGATTTGATCATAGTTGCTTTGAAAACGTCCAGTGTATAAAGGCAAGTATTTGTAAACTCCTGAATTCTCAACATCACAGACTCCTACCACAAGCAAGGAGATTTGGGCAGGATGCTGTGTCCACTGGAACACTTGTAATGCTATGGAACACTTGCAATGGTACTGCTTTCTGAAACAGTAGTTCTCTGCTTTGGATAATTCCAGTGAGTCTATATTGTGAGACTAAGTAACATAGTAATTAATACTAACTTCTCTGTTTCTTCACTTCTTCAAAGGAGCAAGATGTAAGTACTTGCTACAGTCAAGATTCCAGATTAAGTTATTCTGGAATGATACATTCCTACTTCTAGATATGGGAATTTTAGAAGGGGTTCCTTTTCTGCTATGGTGTAGAACTAGCATTGCACATAATTCCTGGACAATAACTAGATACAGACAGTACTTTCATAGCTATATAGCATTTTGAACCAAACCTGAGTCTGCAGCAGGGGTAAGAAAAGCTGAAGTGCTGACAAGCCAGGAAATACATTAACTAATAAATTAAGAATAAATTAAAAGATCCAGTGTCCAACAGAAACAGTATGTCAACTCATCTGATATAAACTGAAATGTCAACAGACAGTCTGGTCCCCTCGCAGTTTAGAGAATGGACTAAATAAAAGCAGCTGTGTGGGTAAGTACTTCTCCCATATTCTGGCATGAAATTGTTAGTTGATCTTTATCAGTTTTAACAACAAAAAAAAATCAGATGTTAAATAAGGCCTGCAGAACAGCACTCAAGGGATATTTTCTGCCAGTTTGTTAAACCAATAGCTTAAATCAAGTGGAGTTATTCACTGGTGGAGTTCAACAGGACCCTTCTTTTGTTGGGCTGCTCCATTTTGTGACTCTCCTACTTATCCTACCCCAACTAACTGTAGCTACAATGTCCCTCTTGCCCCAGCTATGACTGAGGAGACTTAATAAGGCAAACCCAATGATAAATAGCAAACATGCAGTTGTCTCATTATATTAATTCATTCTGGGGGAGAAAGGCAGAATCTTGGAAACATATTTCTCTAGAGAGCAAGAGCAATTTTAAACAGCAGAAAGCATAACAGCGTGATCTGTATTACATTACAGCTATGTTCAAAGGGATAGCTTGTGCCCAGTTAAACCACAAGACAGAAAGCAATCCACAGGAAATCATGAGTTGCCGATCCTAGTTCACAGCTGGATGAATGCTGTTCAGCATGGCTTTCAATTACAGAGGTGCTGTGGCAAGAGCTGTGGAATTTAAGTTTTATGTGAGGCATACAGATGAAAGTCAAGTTGTCCTTTAGTTGTAATTGCAGTATAGCTAGGTCTTAGGGTCCCTGTCTGCACACTTACTGTGCTAAACTCAGTAACTCCTTGGGTGGTCCAGGAACTCCTCAGCTAGTCCCTGTACAGAAAAGACGCCCAACTGACAAAGACAAGGTGACAGACCCAGTTCCTCAACACCTTCACAACAAAGGATCTGTCTAACCCTTGTGGGAGATCAGCTGGGGATTTCAGACAATCCTGAGGATTCCTCCCAGGAAACTCCTGCCATTCCAAGACCAATTTCTATGCCTAAATGTGTCATTTAACATCCAGAGTGAAGACTATGGCCCTTCCAGAGACTTCTGGTGGTAGTGGTTCCTGCTGCAGAATGGACCAGATTGCACACACAGGTAAAATGCTTGTAAATAGTCTGTAGAAACTGTTCCTGTAGATGCAGAAATGGCCACTCAGGACAGCCTTTTTGCACATAGTTAACACAGTAAGATAGTTTAGTTTAAAATACTTATAATAATGAATAATGCATGTGCTGAAGAAGTTACACAGGATCAGGGGCCAGCTGGGATGTGAGAACTGAGCAGAGAAGCTGTTAAGGAAGTCTCATCTGATCCAGTGACTCGTGTTGCTAACCAGATTGCAACCAACCAGCCTGTGTGGGAGATCCAAACAACACCCTATGCCAAGGTCCAAATCATTAGGTTTTTTTAAGCAAACACTGATGATTTTTTGTGCAACACTGCTAACCCAAAAACCAAATCAGCCCTTCCATCCAAGAAATGCTGCATTTAACAGTTAGTCTTTGTCTAGATAAGTCCAATGGTTTTCAAGGTAAACTCGTTAGCCCTGCTAGAAGTGATCAGTTCAGTACATATTATACTAGAAAATTCATTGCTCTCTGTTGTTTAAAATACTAGAGAAGACTAAATGTTAACAACTGTTTATGCATTGCCAGATTTTACTGAAATACAAGTTCTGAAGCACTTGTCATTTTGGTCACAGTAGTACTACAATAAAGGTAGCAAGAGACTCTAATTCAGTCTGTGATTCAGTACTATTAACAATTCTGCAAAGCAATGCACGTATAGCAGTGCTATTCACACCTATTCGTTTTCCAAAACAAACCTATGAACAAAAACAAAACAAAATATGAACTATTAAGGTCAGAAGGCAAAATTTTTCATATATGCCTTTACTGATGAGACTGACACTTTTACATCTCAGTATAGTCACAAGATAATTAAGTAATTCTGTAGATGCTTTTCAAACAGTCTGCTTAATCCCTAAGTATTAAGTGTTTGGTCACCTGGGTATTGTGCAATGAAAACCAAAGAAAATCAGTTGCTACTTACCACCACCCTTAGCAGAAATACTGTGCTGATCCTGTGTATTTCCCTAGGTTCCCTCTTTGAAAACCCAAAATCACCATGGGTACAAATCTTATTTCCATGACAGCAAGGGCCCACATCAATTGAGAAGACTGACTTTAACTGTCCCAGTAGTATTCAGCTGATCATGTCTGAATTTATTAAAACCATGTGACAGTCAGTTTAATCCCTGGTTTAATCTCAGGTTTGCCTGAAAGATGAAATTTGGCCATTGTATTTATAGCAGAATTGCAAAATCTGAAAGTATATCACTTCCCCTCTATACTTCATTGTTCTACTCCCTGCAAACATATACTGTCTATTTGCAGGACTGGAGCTAATCTGTTTATGATACCACTTCTAATTATTAGGATCACTAGGAGTCCTGTTTCAGTGAAGATTATTTTATAATAAAGGTACTTATTATAAACCAGAAGGTGGATATTGAACTGGAAGATCTAATTTTCTTTATTTGACCTTTAGAAATGGCCTGAAGTCATCATTTCCTCTATACAATGGTACTATTAATACTTTGAATTTAAAGAGCATAGTTGTAAGAGACATCTGAAAATGCTCTTAAGGATGACTATATGAAGGTGCACATTCTTATTCAGCAGATCTGCTCCCTGTAACTATTTAATCACAGTTAATACCCCACTTTAGTGAAGTACTAACCACACAAGTACCCTCTTGCATGAGTTCAACATGCAAAAGCCTTAATATGAAGCTAACATGCATTTAAGCTAGTCCTGCAACTGAGGGGGGGGGGGGGGAAGTGGTATTCCTTCTTTTTTTATTGGAATATTAGTTGTGTCCTCACAATTTCTCCTCTGCTGTGCCAGCACAGTAATTTGGTCCCCTGCTCGGTGACCCAGATAGGGTATCACTACCTAGCTGAAAAACAAACTTTCAGCTGCATCAGTTCACTATAGGACTGCAAAAATGTTTTTGCTCATATACCAGTGTTTGCTGGATGTACAAACAAGCATTCAGGGAGAGAGAAGCACAGACTTTTTGTGGGAACGCTGATCTAAGTAGTACCAAATTGCAACCTGAAGGCACTTTTATTCTCTGCCCAGCCACAAACTAACAAAACCCTTTTTGAACAATATAGTGATGGTGTAAAATGCCTTTTATGAGGGTCTATATCCATAAGCCCAACACAGCAAAAAAAAAGTGTCACTTTAATCACTTGCGTGACTTACCAGCTGAATTATTTACACATATTGTAATCAGGCAAGCTGGGTAAACTCATTCACAGTGATGAAGTAGTACTGTCATTAAGGGAATCAACCGACACACACACACTTTGTAACTCGTATGTCAGCTTTGAGATTATTGGTAATAATAAAAAATAAATCTGCTAACAAAAAGAAGACAAGGCTTCAGCCCAATCTGTTCTTGTTCAGCTACGTAATGAATGGCTTATTCAGCTGTTCTGTCACAAGGGAGGAGCTGGAGCAGAGATGAGGAAAGGGGCCAGAGCTGTTGCTGCAAATGTGTATGTGGAAACACTGTTCAAAACCCCAGGCAGCATCTACAGAGCTGGCAGAAAAATCCTTGTTATCATTTGAAATGAATATGGACTTACTGTAGAAAAAAAGCAAAATCTGTTTAAGTTCTGAGTTTTGTTTATAATATTAATGCATACTGCTTGTTCCAAACCCAGTTTCTTGGTAGATCACTTTTTCATGTCTTCTACACTCCATTTCCTGGGAATTTATGTCTGCTGAGGGAGTAGTTATCTAATCAGGGGAAAAAAGTGATTAATTACTGTAGGTATAACCGTTATTCCCCCCTCAGGAATAACAAAGCTGGGTCAGAGAAGGTGGATGTAACCATACTTCCAAAGGGCTCTCAGCAAATTCTTTTCTTTCCTCCCCTCTCTGATAACTGTTTGCTAAAGCTAATAGATACTTCCTTTAGAACAACCATGCTAGAAGCAACTCAAGGAAAAATCACAAACCCTGGCTTGGAATTTGAGCTGTTTTTGAAGAAGTTATTCTTCACCGAATACATAAAACTATCCAAAACTAAGATATAAAAAATTGGCTAGATTACTTCCCTTCTGCCTCAAACACAGTACATTTAATGAAAATCATGTGGAATATAACATCAGCTTTTGTGAAAAAGAAATGTAACAAGAACAGCTATATAAAGTCATTTCAAAGGGCACTTTTAGCTCAGTATCTGGCCTAAAATGGCAGTCAACAACAGATGCCTAAGGAAGAATGTCAGAATAAAGCAATCATATGATGCATCTTCCTTGGCAGTTGCACAGAGCTTCTGACAGTGTGGTTCAGAGACTTTCTGAACCAGAGGTGATATCATGGTATTTAATAATTGTTAACAGACATATAATGGAAAAAAAAATCATCTTTCTGGACTAATCTAAACTTTTAGCATCCTTAATATCCAAAGACAGAGCTTCACAATTTAGCTATACTTTAAGCACTTTATTTTCTTCTAAGTACTTTGTTTTTAATTTTCTACTTGACAATTGTGCTTAGTGCCCTCTAGACCTCGTTTTAGGAAAGGCAGTCATTCTGTGTCCACTTTTCTGTGTCACTCATGACTTTACACATCCCTGTCACGTCTCCTTAGCTATAGTCTATTGGATTGTAACTATCTATTTAAATCTCTGGGAGTCTTTGTCACTCATCCCCACGTCTTCACTATTCCAAGAGTACATTTCAAGTGACTCAAGAATACAGAGACAAGAAAAAAAGTGTTTCAGAGCATAAAGATTTACAGACTTGAACATGTGGCAAAACCTGGTCTTCAGATGTCCCTGCTCATTGCAGAAGGGGGGTGGAACTTGATGACCTTTAGAAGTCCCTTCCAACCCAAAACCAAACCGTTCATGATTCTATGACTCATCCAGATGAAGAAGGCTGAAGTAGTAAGTCTGAATTGTCATACATTAAGCACAGGTAAAAACATCTTTGTTTCCATACGCCTCATATACCCACACTTTGGCTTTATTTTTCTCACACTGAAGGCTAAATCCGAAGACAGTATAGGCAAAATTAAATGTACATAACTTTTTAATGCACAGGTTGAAACTTAAATTTAAGGTAAAGGCACCTTCCAACCAGCTCCTTCTGAACCACCAAATCTCTCAAAGAGCCATCCTAGTGCGGTATAGTACTCTGTCAGCTTTGAAGGCCAACAGCCTTAGGACCAAGAACCAAGACTCAGATTTGTTCCCTTTAATTTTACACACTGGCCTAAGTCTCCAGAGTTACTAGCAGTCATCTTCATTCCCCCCAGACTCTTTCCTGGAGCTACTCATCTCTTACCATGAGTGGGATTTTAGGCACGTTAATCTCTGCAGTGCAGTGAATCAAGTGTCTAAAGTTAGATAGGATGGTAAGGTCAAGCACTGTGAAGAACATCCACTGTATTCCTTGTTAAGGCTCAAGTGCATTTGTGGGAGATCTGCTCTCTCTATGCCCACAAACTAATAAAAGTAGTCTAAACACTGCCATGATTGAGATGGAAGGTCACAAGTGACTGGAGTCACTGCTGTCTGAAACAGTGCCATACTGGGAGGAGTGTTCACTTCCTACTTAAGGCACAGTCATTCAGCACTAAAAAAGAACTCTGTTGATTGCCCAGTATCAAATTTCCCATATCTGAACACAATCACAGAGAAGCTAACAAAGTTCAGCTACAGGATCATTTAATTAGAGCTAGGTTGGCTGCCAAGGCATGGCAAGGTATCTCATTTCACTGGTCATGAAGGACTTGATTCAGTTCCTAAGTACTGCTGTTTAGGGCCATTAAGATGCCCAAGTTTCCCAGGTGTCCTTACCCTGCCCTTTTAGAGGGTTTGGGGTGTTTCTTCCGTTCATGTGTTGTACCTTGCAGCCGTCTGGGTTTTTGTATACCCCTGGGCAGTGCAAAAAGAGGTGGGTCACTGTGGGAAAACAACAATCTTTGGGGATCTCATGGCAAGTTCTTGCATTTGTCTCAATCACTTTATTCCTTTCTCTGGCCTTTGCTGGCCCTGTTGGCTTTGACAGCCTGCTGGCCATCCTCACTGAAAACCACCACCAGCAATCAGGAGACAGTGCAAGGGCTCCTCACCACCTCCCTGCCCTCACAGGAACTGGAGAAGTCCACACAGCAAAGAAAGGAAAAAAAGAAGGTCAAAGCCAAAGAACAATAAGCATCGGGGGAGCCGGAATTGGCCTGTGTATCACAGAGCTGAGCACACAAACGGCTGTGACCCTCTGCCACAGCTCGGGCCTCGTACAGGTGCGCCAAAGGGACGCAGGCAGCGCAGGCACGGCCAGCGCGGGCCGCACGCACCGGGAGCTCCCGGGAAGTCAAACATCCCGCTCCAGGAGCCTGCGGGGCCAGGACCCTGCCCCAAAGCCCCAGCCCAGCTCAGCCCCGCGCGGCAGCGGACTGCATCAGCCCACCACACGCTCTGACTCAACCCCTTCCCTTCCCTTACCCGGCCCCGCCCCGTTGGCGGCCATCGGCGCCTGCGCGGGGTTGGGTGCTGACAGGAGTCCGGCCGCTGCCGTACTGTGGTCGGTGATGGAGGAGCGGCGGTGGTTGTTGTCGTTGTGGCTCCAGAGCTTGGCGTTGTTGTGGGGCCCAGCCAGCATAGGGCTGGCGCAGCTCAGCACCACGGCTCCGCCAGCACCAGCACAG